CCTAAAGAAGACTGACTCGATCATATACTCGAATATGTGATCCTAGAGTCGGACTTCTAATTTGACCTGTGGTGGTGGAAGCAATGAAGATGAGTACCTTGACCATGACTTGCTCGGTCTACGTGCATCAATTATGATACAATTGCTGTATCATGGGACACTGTGCTCTGGAGTAGCATGATCAGGCCGCTGTACACTAGGACAACTGGGCACAAAGGATGGCCTGCAGGGCACGAAGGTGGGAGTTGTCAAGCTTTTGCATTAAATTGTTGTTCTTTCATAGCCGGCACGATTGGCAAAGTCATAGTAAAACAAAATTGTGTCCAGATGGGTTAACAGGCGCATCTGGCACAGGGGATTCATTGCGAACTATACGCAGCGAAGAGAGAGAAATTGCTCTTTTACTCTCGGACGAGGCATCCATCCTGCAAGAGTGGTTCCCTCCACAACATGATCCCACATAGCTGGGCTCAGGCTCCAGCCCCAACGCATCGACACAGGACCTCGCCCGCAATAGGAGTCCATGGATACTGTTCAGTCCAGCGCGGGTCTCGATAGTGTATTTGCAGCATAGTATCTCGGTCTTGAAGGCACGGGCGGTCTACTCCGTCGTTGTTCCTCTTCAACCTCGTCTCTCGTTATCCGTAGCATTTCGCGGACTTTGCCGTCAAAAGTGACGATGATGTGGTCTGGAACGGGGGGGAAGCTGGGTGAGGAGGCGAAGAAGGGCGAACTGGATTCTGAAGATGTTGGAGAGGGTGCGGCGTCCATGTTGTGTAGAGGTTGGAATGGGTTGGGGACGTTTGGTTTGATTGTGCTGGGTGTCGATCGCAATCCAAGGTGGTGGAGGGCCGATAGAGATTACTGTATCGTGTTTGTTTGTCTGGTGTGGTGAATACGATATGGCGTTGGTAAAGTGGAGTGTGGCGCCTGTTAGTGGTGATGATACCCTGGTCTATTGTTAGGGGATCATCGATAGGCGGGCCCTAGTAGGGTGACATACATACACGAGTTTTCTTAGCGATGTCGTAGTAATAGTCCGTTCCTTGATTGTTGGTCATGGACTAGCAAAAAGGTGGATCACTTTTGTGTGTGTGTGTGTGTGTGTGTGTGTGTGTGCGTGTTTGATGTATGTGCTCTTTGGAAGAGAAGAGAGAAAGAAAAAATCGGGGATCTTGCTAGTACATCATTCAACTTCTCCTGAGTTCAATATATTGTCGACTCCACTTTCAAACGCGGCGGAGTCGGCTGTCCACGTCACCGCACTGTCGTCTCGTCCGCCAAAGCTCAGACACCCGCCGCCTCCCTAAAGTCACGGGACGGGGTGTTTGTTGCAGAGAATGGGGCCAAAAAGGGTCCAAGGTTGCTATATTGGGAGCAAAACTGTGTTTCAGTGTTATATTTGGTGAAGATTTTCGATCGAGGCGTGGTACAAAGGCCCCTTGCCGTGCAGGATCTAGAATGGCCACTTTCGGCCGTGCATTCTCGAAGGCGAACTGGCGGGACATGTGCTGGGTCGTGGTTGGATTGGTAGTACTACCGTGGTACTTGTATGTCATCGTTTTTTTCGCTCTCAGTTGAAGCCATCGTGTCGTCGTCGATGTCCCCCCAACACAAGGTGGTCCAAGTAAGTATAGTACATGTATACTCTACTTACTACTACCTTGCGTCTCGTAGTAGTCGCCGGTGGAACGTCGTGATCACATGCATCTGTCCAAATCGTTGTTTTCCTACCGCGGCGGGCGGCGGCGGCGGCGGCGGCGGCGGAATACCTGCTCTCCTGATCGTCGCCCCTTTGCGCTTTGCGTTGTACCATGTCTACCGGTCTTGGTGTCGACTGAACGCCTGTGCAAAAGTTTGTTTTCTGCACCGAATCTCCTGACGTGTTGCTTGCGTCTGAGGCTCTAAGCCATGAATTTTCGCTTCGCATCACCAACTTTGTATTTCAGGCCAGCCCCCATACCGGTACTAGGTACCCTCCGTTGCACGCGAAACCTCTACCCCGCGATTTGCTCATTCCTTCATTCACCCAGTCGCACAGCCATCGACATCGCCACACTGCTTCACCGACTCTTCGCTTTCTGGCTTGCTCACCTGCAAGCCAACCTTAAATGAACATCAGCGTCGCCAAGTAGGCTGCAGGCTGGGCTGACCACCTCCGAGGCTTAGCTACACCGGTCATCCGTCCTGCCGTCTTTCGTGCTTCGGTTGCGGAGCCGAGTCGCTTCAAGGCAGATGTGATTGGGAAAAGCGACTTCTATGACGAAGATTCCTCTTCAGGTACCCAGCACGTGGGTTACACTCGAAGAAAGAGCAGCAAGGTAGGGTGTAGGAGTAGATAAGGGACATGTGGCTCTTGAAGCCTGCGAACGTCAAATGTCATCTCACTTGCATCACGCATTGCTACGGCAAGGTCTCTTTTTGCGTCCGTCGTGTCCAACCCGTTTCCAGTCAGGAATTGGATCCCTGAGTCTGAACAATGAATTCGGGGCTTCATACGAGTGTGGAAAGCCGCGTTTCCGAGGGAGGGACTCGGGCAGGGAAACAGGGACAGCAGCAACAACAGAATCGGTATTCGACGCATGAGCAAGGTATACTCGATTCCCTCATCATGACACTCTACCCATGACCGTACAAATGGCTGCTCATTGCGACAATAGCGCCGAGGCAGGCGATCGTTGACATGGCAAAGCAACCTGCTTCAACATCCACCCCTGTGTCACGAGAACGCGCGGATTCCTTGCTATCCCGGCAGTCTCCCAATTCGCAAGGGCAACACGCACGTCAGGCTTCCTCCTATGATGGAATTGGTGACGATGGTCACGAGTACCGAATGAGATCATCCTCATCCGCAGCACACTACTACCGCACCTCATTGTTCACCGACCGCTCAGAGGCACAAGGAGAGCTCAGGCGACTAAGTGCGAGCTTCAACTCCCCAACCCAGGTCGAGCTAGAGCGGCAAAAGGACCATGAGAAGAGGGTGAAAGGTATTGGGAGGCTCAAGGATGCGGTCAAGGGGTGGGCCAGGAGGACGTAAGAGGGTCGCATGCCACAAACTTGGTTTCTGGGCCCTTTTCTTCCCTTTTGCAGCTTTTTCTGCACCCATGCAGTCTTTGCCATTTCTTTCGAGCATGGGCCGCTGTGCCTACAACAGGCCGATGTACTACTCTACTCATTGCCCCATGATGTTTCTACCAACTCTCCAGACAAGTCTGCTGGCTTGACCCACAAGCCTCACTTTTCATGTTCGCTTGTGAGCAGGCGGCTCGGGACGGCGATGGATGCACGCTAGACATGACATCACGCCCATTCTTTTGCAAACGGTCATCACATTGTCGTTGAGACACGAAGTCAACAAGTCCACCCGCGGATGGCTGCCTAATCATTGCTACTTGCGGCACCATGAGACCCCTCTCCATCGACTCCGTGGCCCTGCTTTACACAGGAGCATCGTCAGCCCTCCTGCGCTTTGGGCAAGATCTTCTGATTGGCCACTCATCATTTCCTCTTCCGGGTGGCTACAAAGGGTGGCTGGGGGCGGACATGGCGCTGCAATGACGTCGGACTATGTCGTGCAGGCTTACGGGCTACGTGGAGAAGGCAACCGTCCATGTTGAGTCTTCGTGTATGGAGATTGTTTAAAGTCGTGGTCCTTCGCGCGCTTGTTTGAACTGTACAGCCTCGTCAGCCAATAACGCACTTGTCGTCAAATCGTCGAACAGTCAAACAGCAGATCTATCCTCTGCACAGCTCCCCTCGGCTTCTCTTCACCACCCTTGCGAACCGAGTGTCACCATGAAGCACTATCCAGAAGTCAACGCCCAGGAGCGGAGTGAAGCCTCGTCGCGTCACGATTCCGCGTCCTCCGTCGACAAGGGTCGTCCGCAACAGTCAAGCAATACAAGCACACACGAGAAGGATACCCAATACACCTCGTTCCCACCTCTATCCAACACGTCCCACCACCGCCAATCTACAGACTCGACTTCATCCAACGGAGACATCCAAAGCATACAAGCCAAGTACGCGCGGTATACAGACGCACCGCCGCAGTACACTGAGCAGCAGTACCAAGGCAAAACCGAGGATGAACAAAACCACATGCGAATGTCCGACTACTCCAAGGAGATTTCGAGAATCATGAGCCGCCAGCTCATGAAGGACATGCAGATTGCACAGCACAAGGCAGACGTAGCGTCAAAGTGAACCGGTTGTCCTTTGGCTCGGTGATCGGGATGTACGTTTGACGAATTGGCACGAACGATGGGCTGGCCCTATCTTGTATGAATCAGCACAGCGAAGGCGTTGCATTGACAGGTGATTTGGATACGCTGCTGCGCGTTATGACAAGCATGGTGTTATGTCGTTTTCTCCACGGTCACAAATTAAGGATTTCCATCACATAAGCTCATGTCCCCGTCTCTTAAACCTGACCACCGACACCCATCCAAGATCGAAGATGATGCCTGCTCAAGCTTTCGAGATCTCAAAGTGCTTTTAACCAATCACCATTTCATTTTGCATTTCTTGTGTTTCACCTCTCTAATCTGTGCAACACATCCCTCTCACACCATGAACCCCCTCCCCTTGCATGACCCTCACAAAACCGCGCAACCCCACAACCCTCTACCAAGCCCCAGTTCGCCAAAGCCACACCCCTCCCTCCAATCCCGCCTCACTCATCTTCACCGAACCCGCCGTATTCCTTCCTCCCATCTCAACCCCACCCATCCGAACATCTACTGTATCCACCCGCCCGTTCGTGAGAAGGAGCACCAAAATTGAAATCCCCGCAATCTGTACTATACAACACAAAAACAAGTCCCCCCCCGGATCCCAGCAAGCCCGCAACCCTGCCCTACGCCATTCGCGCGCAATAGTTTCCCCAAACTGCTTTTCCACCCCACGCCCCCTACCAGCCCTAAACTTTAAACTCTAAAAGCTTTTTCTTTTTGGTGGACATGGACAAGGGTTTATGGGACTTGGCGCTTGCTTTGGCCCTCCTTTGAGATCTGGGGTCTTTTCTCCCCACCCCGGAGGCCCGGTGGGTGGAGGTGTTGGCGGGGAGGTGCCGGATGGGGGTGTGGTGTGGTGTGGCGAGCGTACGGTGCTGTATGCCAGAGTGGAAGTGTGGAAGGGATGGTGTGCGGTGTGAACTAGAGGTTGGAGGAGGATGCAGTAGGTTGAGGAAAGGGATTATAAATGTGAGATAATTACCTAGTCTACCCTACCTAGCTCCATAGTATACACAAATACAGACATAGTAGCCAGCCACACCTCATACCTCCATACCCATGAATTCACTCAATCAATCAATCAACCACATACAATACAACAACTCCCCCTCCATCCACCATCCACCACCCTCCCCTCCCTAAAACCCTAGATCCAAATATCCATCCATCTCACACCTACACACAGGCCCATCCCCTTCCTCCCAATACCCCAAAACGCCTTTACCCCCAAGGCGCATTCATATTCCCAACCCACATC